GCTCGTGGGTGTCGTAGCGGACGACCCGATCGAGTGAGCCGAGCTGATCCGTTCCGCCTCCTCCGCCTCCGTCAGATCCACAGAGCGGACCTGGCGACTTTGTACTGGTGAAAGGAAAAGCATTTATGGCCGAAAATCAAATGCGAACACATAATAGGATGTGGTAGAGATGCACAGTATCACTAAAAGTAAATGATTCACTAAGCAAACAAGAGAAATCTCAATCGAATTTAACTTAGTCTTGCTCCCCAAAATAATATTCTCAACCAGGGTGGACCATATTTCCGACCTCGCCCGAGTCTCTTCGGCATCCTTAGCGGGACTAGAAGCCAGATTCTACGGGTCTCGACACACTAGCAACTAAGTCACACTGCCACGAGCGCCCTTAGATGACAGGACAGACGTGAATTGCAAGGAATGCCAGGCTTGCCTTATGTAAAACTTATGCACCTTATGCGAACCAAGGTGACCGGGATTTTTGCTCAAGATTTAGTGCTAGTTTTGAAACCTAATTTATACGAATATAATCAGTTCCCGGAGTAAGCGAATTAATCATTATGATCTTTTGAAAGTATTGGAGTATGCCCATAAAGAGTACAGAGAAATGTGTTTATGCACACTAGGATTGGGAGAATGTAAGACTCCTCGCAACGCTGAAGTAGATTGAGAAAGCAATGCACGTGTTTACACTGTCAAGAGATACATCTCCATCCATTGAATTATAAGCAAAAAAAGCGGGGAAGTTAGCGTAGGAGGGTGCCATATGGAGTCCATCCTTTGTCATAAGTGCAAGGTGAACTTGTGTGTCGAGTGCCAGCTTCAATCCGCCATGGGCGGATGGACTGTCCATCCGAACAACATTTTTTTGGCCGAGCAACGTATGGTCATAAATTCCTTTACCGTCAATTGCTTTTTTTGCCCTTAGTTCAAAACATTTCTCTTCGGATTTGGACACCTGCATCTGCCTGTAAGGATATATATATATATATATATATGAAGAGATAGAGAGAGGGGTCAAACTGTTGTTTTCTTTAACCGGTATATCGAAACTTCATTATAAGAAAATAAATTATGCAGTCCCAAAAGTTTCGTTATAACAGCATTTGACCTGAATGCATACATACATGTATATATATATATATACATATATATATGCGTGTGTGTTTGTGTCAGTGTTCTCTCTCCCATATAAGCATGCGCCGGAACATGTTTGCCCATTTATCCAGTTGCCCCAATTAGATCCTCCTTCGTGCTGACCATACAATTGCCCAGTCATCTATCCCCTTTTATTTATCTTTCCCTCCATTCGTCGATCAGAGAGAATTTTATTTATATAATGTAGACTGGGGAGAGCAAACAGACGTTGGGCCGTCTTTTAGAAACTGAAGTTGGTATGGTTGAGGACAGTGAATATGATAATGCGTACAAAAGATAAAACAGGCGTGGCTCAAAGTGGCACACAGGTGAATATGTGACTGTTCGCATTAACGGAAAACCAGTTCATTCCGTCAATATTGGAGCAGCAGTCTCGGTGAATAAAAACAATCAACAGCAGTAGATGGAATGTGAAGCGAGTTAAACGGCATGACAGGGGAAAGGAAATCAAAATAAAGAGAAATAAAACGGAAGATAAATGGTAGGATTCGAGCATTGGATGGCCAAATCATATTGTGAAAATATCCGCAGGCATAGGTTAACGGTAGGCAAAACTCAACCAAATTATAGCGTCAGATGCATAGGAGAAATTAATTTATAAATTGGCAAGTAACCAGAAGAATTGACCGTTTATGCAGCGATCGAGATCGAAAACTAAGGTTCATGTGGTGACTCAATGAGCTCCAAAATTGGTGTGGAAACTGTTAAGATTCCTAACTACCTTCTGGTATTGTGCGGGGAACTTTCATTTCATTTGAAAGTGCATGAAGAAGAGATTCCTGGGTCGATCTCACTAGCAAAGGACGGATGAATCCCATTGTGCTGCAGCCGTTTGGCTTTTATACGACGTTCATTCTGACGCAGTCCACGAGATCTCCTCCCTGATTTCGGGTGGAAACGAGCTGAGCTTTTGTCCATCATATGATGGACATCATCAGAGCTGGGTCTCAGTCCTGTATAAGTCTCACGTTAACACTGGATTGATCCGTCTTATTCTGGTGAGATCGATCTACGAATCTCTTCTTCATGCACGTTCATACGAACTGAAAGTCCCCCCAACAATGTTATCTCAGGAGACTCATCGAAACCCAGTTTCACTTCGTACCTTCTGGTAGCTTGTACAGCTGAGGGCAAAATGACAGACAATAGGTCTGGCTTAATGGATTGAAGAGAACTATAAAGGTTTCGGATTTCCAGAAAAGAAAGACCAGAACTGCTTTTCAAATTCAAAAATGACATTTGGTAGAGTCGAATTTCTACTAGAAGCCCAGGAAACTATTTCAAGGAGTTAAATATGTTAGTTCGTAGGAAATAGTCAAGAATAGGATACTATTGTCGGCCTTGAGTCGGTTTAATCAGCGATCTAATATAAGAATACATTTCTGGACATATAAAGTAGTAAATGTATCACAAACCAAATATAGTCAGCGCTAAAGCACTCTAACGGAATATGAGTTTTCCTGGTGTGATTGAGTATGGAGGCAGATTGAGCATAATGCCGACCAAACAAACATTAGAGAGTATTAATCAAACCCATTAAACCACAAATGTGCTTATAAGAACAGGAATAACTGAGGTCACCTTGCTTTGTTATGCGGTATGGTGAACTTACTCACGCAATGCAGTGCACGAAGACACCGAGGGTAATGATGATTAAGAATGTATTTGGATGTTTAGCCCATCCGTCCATATATAGGATAATAATTGGCTAATTTGAAAAAGAAAGGATAAATTCGGCTTTTAAGCGAAGCAAAATAAATGGACTGGAAGCTATATGAAAAAAAAGCAAAGTAATAGATCGAAATTCCAAAACAAACCCGATTTCAAGG